TACGTTCCTTCGTGTAAGGATTTCTCCAATTTCTCTAATTCTCGAACCTGGTTACTCGAGTTATAGGAATACCACGTTTTATGCGCGTCTGCCGAATTCTCGAACCGCGTTAGAGCGAATCCGCGTGGTAAAAATATCAGAGGAGATACCTGGACACATTTTTAAGTAGGAAACGAATACGGAAAATTCTTAATATTTGGGAAAGTGCGTGCTCCTGGTCGATCGATAGGTCGAAATAAAACGACGCTGTCTACGATGATACGCGACAGACGAAACCTTTGAACCTTGCTTCGTCATCGAGTAGTTTATACCGATAAAAAGAGAGCACAAGTTTGCTTGATTCGCGATCGAGCAATGCTCGACTTAAGACTCGACGATTGTCAGCAGCCTCGTTATACCTGCGGAAATAATTGCAGTTACATCACGAACGTGGAACATATACAGCTGCTAGTACAAGAGGAATCAATTTATATGCATTTTGCATCGCACAGAAATAGAGAAAAGTGTTGGCAATACGGTTCTGTGTTCCCGTTTTATCGTCCGCATTGTCTTCTCATGCCATTTCCATGCACCTTATTACAGGATGAACAAAGAAAATAAGAAAACCACTTGGGTGTGTTTGAACGCGTTTGAGCGAGTGAATGGGACTGAGGCGAGTAGATGCACAACTTGTTAGTTCAAAACTCGTCTAATCTTCCTTTGCACTTATAATGCATAATATTATATTATATTGTATTATATTATATTATATTGTATTGTATTATATTATATTATATTGTATTGTATTAAATTATATTATATTGTATTATATTGTATTATATTGCATTGTATTGTATCGTATCGTATCGTATTGTATTGTATTGTATTATATTGTATTACATTGTATTACATTGTATTACACTGTATTACACTGTACTGTGTTATATTGTGTTATATTGTGTTATATTGTGTTATATTGTGATATATTGTGTTATATTGTGTTATATTGTGTTATATTGTGTTATATTGTGTTATATTGTATTATATTGTATTATATTGTGTTATATTGTATTATATTGTGTTATATTGTGTTATATTGTGTTATATTGTGTTATATTGTGTTATATTGTGTGATATTGTGTTATATTGTGTATCGTATCGTATTGTATCGTACTGTATCGTACTGTATCGTATTGTATCGTATTTACATTGTATTACATTATATTGTATTATATTGTGTTATATTGTGTTATATTGTGTTATATTGTGTTATATTGTGTTATATTGTGTTATATTGTATTATGTTGTATTATATTGTATTATATTGTATTATATTATATTATGTTCCACGTCTAATCGTCTTTCTCTTTTTCTTTAATTAAGATTTTTAAGATCGTATCACCTACAAGATTATTAGCGATCTTGCGAAGAGGAAGATTTTCCTTATCGCATTTTCTAACGTTTAATAAAGCTGGCGGCTACAGCATTGTGGATAATTGTAGACTCAAACGCGCTTTCTTTATATTTTTTCGATATCCTCGAGCAACCACTGACTCGTATTTGGATATGTTAAGTGAAATTGTGTTTTTAAAAGGGCAGATTGAACGCTACGGAATGTCAGGAGATGTTACATGGCGAACTACTGTCTTTCGTAATCGAAACAGGAGACAAAAAGACAATTTTTCAACGAGACAATGCTCCTATTACTGTACAGCCGTCGTTACGGAAAAGTGGTTTCAAAATTTCGCAATAAAATTATTGCAATGGCGAGCATTGAGCTCTGATCTGAACACGGTCGAGGATCTGTGGGGAATTCCAGCGGGTAAACTTTACGATCGGGAGAAGTCACCGTTGGGAAATATCGTTGAACATAAAAAAAGAATAAAATCCACGTGAGCGGATATTCGTAACGTAAGTTTAAATAAGTCAGTGAATGGTGTACCTGATAATTGGATTAATAAAGGTAATCAAAGATAAGAAAAATCCACTAAATATTGAACGAAAACGTGACAAAATCAACGTTCAGTTTATATTTTCACAGCCAAAAATACAATTTTAGGAGAAAATTTCATTGTTCGCTAGTTTCGAAAGAAGAATTGTGTTGTATCTCAGCATTATATTTAATATATATCTCAATGTTGTATCCTCAGCATTATATTTAATATAAAATTATGCAAAATATCTCGTCAATCTTTGTTTTAATGTTATGAAAAATCTAAAAATGAGGTTCACCTCATAATCGCCGTATTTCGTGAATATTTTTAATGTTGCATAATCGATAAAAATTTGACAAAAAAATTAAAAATTATTTCATCGATCTATTTGCACATAAAATTGCAAAATTACAAAAGACGGTCCTATAAACTACAACTTTTCACTCATTCCAATCTACTAAAATTACGTTAGTTAACAAATTATCGTGCAAAGGGGTCCAGCACAAGATTCGATGTAATTTTAATCTACTTCCTGTCTCTAGATTACGCTATTTTTTTCCAATATTTTTAAATTTTCAACGTACGATAGCATAATCTTTTTTAATTGAAAATCTATTTGAATCTTCTTAAAATACCTGTATTATTATTTGATTCGTAAAAATCACGTTAGAAAGGAATAAAACATCGATTCTGATTAATCTCTTTACTAAATCCTTTAGATCTCGTTACTTCTGTAAAATGGTAATTTATTCGATCAACAGAACTTCCATCGACTAGAATAGAATCGAATATAATGAAATTAAAGCACGAGTAACTGCAACGCGGTAATTTATGCCCTCGTTTAGGAATGAAACCGACGTTGGTTTAACACAGAATAGATAGACAGATGCTAATTAAAGCAACAATGTACAACACGTTCCGAGCTACTTGCTTATGTATGGACGTGCCAATACGTTTTTAACATTATACCTAAGTTAAACAAGAGTCAGCAACACGATTCCAACACGATGAATTGAAGATCTTGCTACAAAAATTGAGCAAGTTCACCTTTTACAGAAATCGTACTTGTTCGATTTTTATATATTTTTGTACATTGCCGATTAATCGACGCGAGAATCAGATGAGTTCAATGCGTTCGTAACAATTTTTACACCAATTTTTTTTACACCAACAAATTTTCATCCAATGTGATCTTCGAGAAGAAGAATTAGCTACGTGCAGGACTTTTGTTCTAAAATATAGCGTTAACAGTAGCGTTAACGTAGTATTAATCTGTCAGCCAACGTGTTCTGAACGTTTGGTAAGTCTGTTCTTTTAATTTCTTCTTGATGACTCAAAACGTCTTCGGACAAACAGAAATCGTATCGGTCGTCGGCAAGTAAACACATGACAAGGAGACAAGCCGGATGTCAGGGATTTATCTAGGAAACTGTTCGAGGAAAGTGGAAAAATAAAGAACAGATGAGAAATAAAGAAGTGAAGAAACAAAATATTCCGCTTGAAGTTCCCAGTGTTTTGATGTCAGAACCATTCAAGTGCAAATATTGGAAAAGATTTGCCAGGTACATTTTTCAGAAACGTAAGAAGCATCGTTTCTCACGTTATTTGTTACGTTAATAGCTTGCTAAAGTTAAAATATTAATTGCATTAAACAAGTCGTAATTAATTCAGCTTTATTCAATTTCCTAGAATTTTTAGAATCTGCACTTTCCGATCGCCTTTTGCACCGAGCTCTTCCATTTAATTTGATTACGTTCTGCGAGTAATATTCTCCATATTCTAATCGCATTTTTCTATCGTCAAAGGATTTGAGGATAATGCAAAAGGATATTTATTGATGTGCGAAATAAATGATCTATTTATTCGAGAATCGAAGTCGACTCTCAGTCGGGTTGGTCGTATCGGCGCTCGATTTTATTCCACCGATGAGCTAAAGTGAAATTTACATTGTTTCGCCGTGTAGGAACACGGCGGATGAACGCTGCTTTCATACGCGGATGGAACGATGATGAAAGCAGCGTTCATCCGCCGTGCTTTTCGAAGCGAAACAGTGTAAATTCCGGCTTAACGTGGTCCAGAATGAACATATATCGGATGTTATAGCGAAGAGGGTGAAATTTGTTTGTGGAAAGATAACAGAAAAATCCGAATGCTAAAGGAGGCTGCCAAGAGCCGAAGAAATTTCGTTCGTTGAAAGAAAAGCGAGATTCGAATATGAAAAGTCTAAGAATAATAACAGGCTTGAGTTGAATGAATATTTAGAGTCTTTCGTGTAAAAGATTACTAAATATAATTGAAACGTTGAATTTCAAAGTGCAGTCTCGGTTGTTCGTTTAACAGAAGTTCCGTATCATCTCACGTATTTCGAATTTTATCATAATTTCATTTCTTCCGAAATTTTAACGCGAAGAATGAGAAGGTGTAAATAGTCAGGTATTGCGAAAGCAGATAAACAAACTTTCAACCGATTAAATAATTAGTTAAATACAAATACATATGCAATATTCTGTTACCAAAATTTTTCTACGCTTTCATTATATGATTGGATATTAATAGACCTAGTTAATCAACTTTTCAACCGACTAAATAATTAATTAAACCAAACTATCTATGCAACATTATATTACCAAAATGTTTTCTACGATCGATTATGGACATTAATAGGCCCAGTTAGTTAAATTTTCAACCGATTAAATAATTAATTAAACCAAAATACATATACAATATTATATTACCAAAAACGGACATTTACCTAATGGAAAATGGTGGGTTTCCCCATGAAAGAGACACCCATGAGCCACGTTGATAGGAGGCTTCCTCCTCTTATCTTCATTCATTAATTAGGCCTCCTAGTATTCGTAAAACGCATAATAAAAACGTAGAAAGATCTTGGTAATGTAATATTATATATGCAATTTTCTTTAATTATTTAATCAGTTGAATTAACTGGAATTGATTAACTAAGTGTATTAGTATTCATAAATTGTACAATACAATTGTAGGTAACATTTTGCTAATATAATATTGTATACGTATTTTTGTTTAATTAATTATTTGATCTGTTGAAAATTTGATTAACCATGTTCATTAGTGTTCATAAATCGTGTAATAAAAGCGTTGACATGTTCGACATGTTGACATGTTTGACATGTTGACATGTTGGGCATGTTGACATGTTTGACATGTTTGACATGTTTGACATGTTGACATGTTTGACATGTTGAGTGTAATAAAAGCGTTGACATGTTGAACATGCTGACATGTTGGACATGTTGGACATGTTGACATTGGGCATGTTGACATGTTTGGGCATGTTGACATGTTTGACATGTTGACATGTTGGGCATGTTGACATGTTTGACATGTTTGACATGTTTGACATGTTTGACATGTTGACATGTTTGACATGTTGACATGTTGGGCATGTTGACATGTTTGACATGTTTGACATGTTTGACATGTTTGACATGTTGACATGTTTGACATGTTGACATGTTGGGCATGTTGACATGTTTGACATGTTTGACATGTTTGACATGTTTGACATGTTGACATGTTTGACATGTTGACATGTTGGGCATGTTGACATGTTTGACATGTTTGACATGTTTGACATGTTTGACATGTTGACATGTTGACATGTTTGACATGTTGACATGTTGGGCATGTTGACATGTTTGACATGTTTGACATGTTGGGCATGTTGACATGTTTGACATGTTTGACATGTTTGACATGTTTGACATGTTGACATGTTTGACATGTTGAACATGCTGACATGTCCAACATGTTTGACATGTCAACATGCCAAACATGCCAAACATGCCAAACATGTCAACATGTCAAACATGTCAACATGTCAACATGTCAAACATGTCAAACATGTCAAACATGTCAAACATGTCAAACATGTCAACATGTCAACATGCCCAACATGTCAACATGTCAACATGTCAAACATGTCAACATGCCCAACATGTCAGCAGTTCAACATGTCAACATGTCCAACATGTCCAACATGTCAGCATGTTCAACATGTCAACGCTTTTATTACACGATTTATGAACACTAATGGACATGGTTAATCAAATTTTCAACAGATCAAATAATTAATTAAACAAAAATACGTATACAATATTATATTAGCAAAATGTTTCCTAAAATTCAACATGCCCAACATGTCAACATGTCAACATGTCAAACATGTCAACATGTCAAACATGTCAACATGCCCAACATGTCAGCAGTTCAACATGTCAACATGTCCAACATGTCCAACATGTCAGCATGTTCAACATGTCAACGCTTTTATTACACGATTTATGAACACTAATGGACATGGTTAATCAAATTTTCAACAGATCAAATAATTAATTAAACAAAAATACGTATACAATATTATATTAGCAAAATGTTTCCTAAAATTGTATTGTACAATTTATGAATACTAATACACTTAGTTAATCAATTCCAGTTAATTCAACTGATTAAATAATTAAAGAAAAATGCATATATAATATTACATTACCAAAATCCTTCTACGTTTTTATTATACGTTTTACGAATACTAGTAGACCTAATTAGACAAACTTTCAACCGATTAAACAATTAATCAAACCCAAATACATGTATGATATTACATTATCAAAATTTCTCTATGCTTTTATTACACGATTTATAAACACTAATTGACCTGGTCAATTAAACTTCCAATTAATTAAATAATTAATCAAACCCAAGTACATGTACAATACTTCATTATCAAAAACTGTTTCCCCTTTAATTATACCACTTATGAACACTAATAAACCTAATTAAACAAACTTTCAACCGATTAAATAATTAAACCTAAACACATGTACGATATTACATTACCAAAATGTTTCCTACCATTCTATCATACGATTTACAAACATTAATAGACGCTCCCGTATTATCCTAGTTTTTCGATTATCCGAGATTGGTTCGGTGCACGCTATCTCGGATAATCCAGCTTTTATCGTATCGTTCGGTTTCTAAAATTGCTTAAACCGAATTTACACAGTTGCACTTTGGAGGAACACGGCGAATGAACGCCGCTTTCATTCTTGTCTCATAGGCGGATAAATAATTTTAAAAGTATTTGTTTATTGATGCGCGTATGAAAGAAGAACGAAAGCGGCGTCTATTCAGCGTGCTGCTTCAAAGCGTAGAAACGCTATAATTCGACTTGAATTTCATTTCACGGATCTCTGTAACTTTCGAATCAGCTTGAAATGTTCGTTCGAGAGATCTCCTCCTACTAATCTTCTCGAATTTCAATTTCTTCTCGACTGGTATTCGACACGGATTCTTCCATTGCTTTTACAAGTGTTTCTACGAATGCTGGTCGTCGTCGTCGTACGTGGATACCATCGTCCTGTGCAATAAGGCGAGACATTACGAAAGGACGTCTAGTGACGAAACAATAGCCATCGACCGCGGAGAAATTTCGCACTGTGAATGTTACCTGTTCGACCGCAACACCTTTCCTTCCGACACCTGTTGGATATATCGACGCTGGAGAAGCCTCGTTTAAGTTGCACGCGAGGCAACAAAATGCTCCGCGAGGCTGACATTTCTATGATAACTAGATCCGAGCTATACCTCTCATAGAAAGACGACTAAAAAGAAAACACCCCACTGACCTCACTAAAGAAATTTTTTGTTTTTATTTGTTAATTTTTACAATCAATTCTCGCATTGAGAATTTTCAGTAATTTTTTCTGGCGTGGCGCAGTGATATGGCTAAATATTTATAATAAGTTAATACTTATTATAGATAAGTATAATTTATAAGTAAGTATTGTAAATAAGTAAATATCACTTAATATAAATATCTAATTAAATCTAGTGTTTAAGTCTAGCGGGTAGTGCCTCTTCAGCCTGCGGATCTGATCCGGCGTATCAAGTAGTTCAGTAATTAGGAGGTTTCGATGATTCTTGACTCTTTTGCTATATCTGTCGTTATATTTTGCCATTTTCTCTTTGACTTTAGGTGTCTTGAGGTCACTAAAGAAATAAAATAGTCAAACTCGAAGATGGTATCCCACTGGGGGTAGCCATCCACGTGTTATTTAGCAACAAGTTAGAAAAATTTGCCAAATGTCCAGCTGGACATTGTAAAGTACAAATTAAATAATAGTAATAAAAAAAAAACTAGATCTACGTGTGAAGGTGCAAAATGCGCAGGTGTAATACGCTCACGAACGAGAGATGTGTATTTATAGTACATATTCATATTTAGTATAATTAATATATTATAATACTCGTAGCATTTAATTTTAGTATTTTGGATCGCGGATGTTTATGTATTCATAGGAAATTTGAAGCTTCGAAGATGCACTTACTTAAGAATGCACGTGATACTCGTAACATTTGTTATTTGCTATTTTACTGTTGTGTGTACTTTACTATTTTGTTTCTTTATTGTTACTTTTACTATTATTATTATTTTTTTTCTCAGTAATTCCAGCCTCAAGGTCAGGGAATGGACATGGTTTACAACATTCATTACTTAACTCTCATTCATCCTTCCATTCTTCAGGCATATCCCAGTCCTTATCCTATTCATCTTCATCTGTCTCTCCCTCTCTTCTCCTTATTTTCCAGCTTTCTCAATCAACTGACCATTTTTCTTTCTTTCCTACCATTTAATACTTCCTTTAGAGTATTTCTTCGCCTAATTCCACCTTTCCAGTACCTTTCCAGTTTCAGTGTATTCCTATTTATTTTAATAATTACTACCATATCACTAAATTACAATTTTTATATTAATTTCAAAATTACTTGCATTTTTAGAGAGAAAGAGAGAAAGAGAATTACAGTTCACCATTAAAGTATGGTCGAAAACATTGTTCGTTGCGTGGCTGCAAATGACAGGAACATATTGAATCGTGTTACGCGGGACACCCTGTATATGCTGCATTCGAGTACTCGAATTCTGTGCGACGTGGAAAATTGCATTTTTTCGCGCGCAACTACAGAGTAGAAGTTTTGTGCATGGATCCACTCCTTTCATTCTGCCATTGCTTTTTATTTCTTTTACAATCCTTCGTTTATTTAGGGAAGATAATATAATAGCACGCAGAAGATCGGGCGTGTACATTTTATTTCTTTTTATTCGAACTACTGCTTTTGAAAGAGCTTTCTATTATTTTCCGCTTCTATCGCAAAATATCGTTTCAGATAAACTTTTAGTCTATTATACTTATCTATAATAAGAATTAACTTATTATAAATAATTAGCCATGTTACTGCGCCACGCCAGAAAAATTACTGAAAATTCTCAACGCGAGAATTGATTGTAATTTTAATAAATAATAAAAAAAAAAACTTTTAGTCTGTGTCCCAACTGTGTAGTTTCGTTTCTCGCCGTGCTTTTTTTCAATCGAGCTTTGACATTTTTCATTTTATTTTACCTATTTCTCCCTGCAATTTGCAACTGAATATTTTACAATATTACGACTATATGAAATATTTCCTACCTACGCTCGCTATCATTTCACCAATATCTGCCATACACTCGTCCTATCTAGCGATTAGCTTCTCACTACTTTTGCTTCTCCTCGCGGTCAGGTACAATGTTTGTCATCACTTGTTTCGTCAAATGTCCAGCTGGACAAATTGTAAAGTGCAAATTAAATAAAAGAAAATTTCCACTACCACTGTCCACTATCCGCTTCAAATTTAAAGCTCGAACATGGTATTCCGTTGGGAGATGCCATCCATACGTTATTTAGCAATTAAGTTCGAAAAATTTACCAAATGTCCAGGACAAATTGTAAAGCACAAATTAAACAATAAAAAAAAAACTTCTAGGAGAACTCCGTGTTTAGTTTTTGGCACAACGATTCTCCTTACAGCGGCTTCTTTCGTCTCTATTACAGTACCGCGGAAAGATCGCCGACATACAGACAATGTGGACGATAAAGCGCAAACGTCGACAAGCCGAAAGGGTCGGAGAACTTCAATAAGCCTAACGACTATCAATATATTTCGGCACCGCAGTCGTTGATCGTTCAGTTAGCCACCAGAGAGTCCAGAGTGAAAAGTTGTTAATCGAGAGTTGTGATATCACTGCATTAAGTTGGACATAATCTAACATACAAACACTCACCACACTAAAGAAATAAATCAATCAAATTCGAAGATGGTATCCCACTGGGGGTAGCCATCCACATGCTATATTACTATATCACTAAGCTATAATATTTTACCAAATGTCCTACTGGACAAATTGTAAAACGTAAATAAATAAATAAATAAAAAAAACTGCATTAAGTTCGAGTTAAATGATCATCGTTTTCTGTTTAATCCACTGTAATAAATCCATCTATCAATACATTATCATACAGGATAGAAACCAGTGGAAATGCTAATTTCTAACATTTCTGAATAAAGAATTTCTATAATACGTTTGCTCTCTCTATTCTGAGATATAAAACCTCAACAGCTGCAGTTGCGTTTACGTAGACACGCGAATTTGCATCGACTATTATATTATATATTGCGATGACTATTGGTATCTTCGAAGAAATCCAATCATTAGTCGCTACCTATGAATATGTATATGGTGTTTGCAAAGCTCGAACGATGTAATTTATTTACTCAAGTAGTGGAGCAAAGTATCTTATATTTAAATTTTAGAATATTCTCTGACACAGACAAACAGAATGTCCGCTATATATTATGGTAACAGATGCATTTTCGCGTTTAAACGCTACAGTACAGTACAGATTATCGAGAATATTGATTGACGCAACGATCGATTATTATTG